GCGGCAGTTTGAAAGCGGCTGGAACAAAACGTGTTGAATGAGATGTTACTCAAACAGAACCCTGACAGACTGGCCCTTCTCTGCCTTTTAACGGTTGCGCTCAATGGGACATTTGTCATAGAGCAGCCGATTTCCTCACTCATCATGCACCACCCAAGGATGCAATGTCTTCATGCTTCCTTTGAGGCCAGACTTATTGGATAATGTGTGTACTTCTGTTGATGACCCCCCCAAGTCTCAAAAAATATGTTGGGTTTTGCAGTGTACCAGGGTATGGGTCCAATCTGGGCCCATTATGTTTGGTGCCCGAACGTTTGAATTTGCTGGGTTCAGCAGGAGTGGGGGGTACATGTGTTCTTCATCGCTCACCCTGATCAGATATATCGCTGTGGGTTTTGGATGTGGTGGTACGGTGCAAGAACTCCAAAGAGGACGGTTCTATGGTCTTCAAGTCGGGCAGTTGGCCAATTCTGGACTAGGAGGCTACAACGAGTGAAAGTGGAGCAAGCTCGCGCGCTCGATCCCAACCCACCCCAGCCTGTGAAGAAGTACAAAGACTCCGAGGGCAAGCCCCGATATCATGGAACAGCGGACTTGACCAAAACGGAGCCGGGTAACCAGTTCTTGTTGAGCACAGGAGTAGCTTGGTTGAGGTGGTCCCTTTAGAGGGTAAATGGGCATCCCTTCAATGGTTGCGTTAAGGCACTATCCCAAAGGCTTTGGAAAGAAGATCGCATCCCTCTTGCAGCTCCTCAAACCTCGCTGCGAGTATGTCTCTCATGATGATGATGTGGACTCCATCAAGCTCTTTGAGAGCTGGCCTTGGGATGATTGGGAGGATGTACAGCTCCGACCTCTAATCCACTACCTGTACGGTTCCACTAGCTTACGGATCCCTGTAGAGTGGAGGCCGGTGCTACCAAAGCACTTTTGAATGGTAAGTGGGGGCTTCCATAATTCAATATAATTCAAGCTGATTCTCCCAAAGCGTTTCTGAGCGCTATATGGAGCCTAGGCGCTGCCTTCCAGCCAAAATATCTACCTTCTGGGTTTCAACGAGGAACCATGTTGTCAATGTTCTTCTGTCTAGCTATATTTGGAGTTCATGTGGTTCCCGGTCCTGCATGGTAGCACTCTGGGCAAAGAACTTCTGTGTTTACCAAGCCAGCTGTATCTCAAAGACTTTGCCATAGACTTTGCTAGAGATCCACCAGTTCTTCTTGTCGAATGGGGTTTGCACATGTCTTTTCACCAGAATCATGAAGGTTTACACAGTTTATCCGCTACTATGACCATCATGATACAGTTTTACCAAGTTTTAACAAGTTTTGAACACTTTGCGACGCAAGAAACCCAAAAACACAACGCAACGACTAAAAACACAACGCCAACGACCAAAAATATGACACCTCGACCAAAAACACAACGCAGCCCTCAACATCGCGACTAACAACGCGGAAAGCAGCAAAAAACGACGCGAAAGCAGCATAAAACGACGCACAAGTTGTGTCATGAACACTACATGTTTGGAATGCTGGGTTATCATGTTTTGTTATGTTTTGATTGTTGCTGATGCCTTTTTCTCCATTGTATGAGCTAACTTCTTAGCTCGATACAGTTTGCTCAAGCTGCCAACTAAAACACATCTGATGGAGCGTGTTGCGGAACCACTTCGGAGTCGGATGTGGAGTTGTTCTACTTTGGAAGATGCTTTGAGCGTGGTGGAACAAACCATGAGCATGCCTTCTGACCCAGCAGTTCTTCGTCAATATGTGAAGGATTGTGTTGACAATGGTGGGTTAATTTGTTCCCGATGCTTCAGGAAGTGCTTGAGTGTGTTTGTCGTAGGCTATAAAAATGCAACATTGCCCTTCCAGGAGCTTTCCGCCAAAGTGGAGGAAGCGAAGACGGCAGTGGCAGAAGCAGAGACCCTTCCCAGCCCGTATCTAAACACTTGTGGGGATGTCAAACACGAAGATTCATCGTCGCAAGAACACATGGATCCATGTGTTGCTTGAAAGTAATTAGCAAACTGCTTGGGTTGATGTTCCCTTGTTCAAACTTTAGAATGGAATCAGGAACGGGTACATGTCAAGTATTGTTCATGCCCAGGCTGTGGAGGGAGATCCTTACTTGGAACTTCTGGCCTCTTCGGAATTGACCCCAGAGAAAGTCGCTGGCACTTGCTTCGATGGGTGGATGGATTCCGACGAAGACTTGATGTTGAGGTTGGCTTTAGCATCAACCTTGGAAACTTTCAAGCCTACATGTACGGATCCCTATCAGATCTTTCGGGGCGAGCTCACTTCCCCTGAACAAGCAAAGGGTGGAACTTCTGATGGAGAAGCTCATTCCAATCAACTTGAAGAGTATGTTTTCATTCTGCCAAGTTTTTGTCGGTAACCCCTTTCAATGAACTTTTATCAATGTGGCCCGGCACGTCGGCCAGGATTTGAGCACCCCGACATCTCAGCCAAATTCCTCACTGACGCCGCCGCCAACCTCCTCCCAGTCATCGTCGCCGTCGCCGGGAGTTACGGGCAATGTACTTGAGAATGAATTATAGTATAGTTTATTTTGCGGGGCGCCTGCATCCTTTACTCACTATATATAATCCATATCATGGTCTTTTCTGTTGGTGGGGCGCTCTAAGGTTGCAAAAGGTGGTACCAAGAGGTCGATCGCCGGGGTCATGCTTGACCAAGAGCAGATTGAGTATTGGAAGGGCAAGTTCCGAAGAATGTGTGAGCCGAAGAGGGCTTCAGGGAACATCGAGGTTCCTAAAGATGTCTTTGAGAAGTATCAAGCCAAGGGGGCTACACGGGAGAAGTTGTTTGAGGCGTTTATCAAAACTGGTGGGGAAAAGGACTGACTGGTCAGCTGGTGTAGAATGTTCCAGTTTGCTACAAACTGTAGTTGGATCCCACAGTAATCATTCTCCTCCTCACACGCAAACCCCTCAAGGAGCAGTTTATCAAGGTGGTTCAGTTGGAGAAATCGGTTGAGCAAATCAACCAATTGGAGACTGAAGGGGGCTTTTACACAGAGAAGGAGATGAAAGATGTTTTGAAGTTCACAGCGACCCCTGGCAAGTATTCTGACAGTAGTTGCGTTGCTTTTTATGCATTTTCAATGTTGCAAAAGGATTATCTCTGTGTTCTGGTTGAATGTTTGCTCCCACGCCCAGGACTCAAATTAAAGCTGCCACTGAACGTGGGCAAAACAACCCGGAGTTCATGATGAGTCCTGACTTTGCATACTTGTACATGTTGTTTGAACAGTGTTAGTTGTGTGTTTAAATATTCTGTATATAAGGGTTTTGTTGGCGTATATTTTGGGCAACCTAGGCTGGACGAGCTTGATCCGAACATTGTTTTGTATTGGGCCAACACTAGAGTCAAGGGCACTGCCACGAACCGACAAGCATCAAAGCTCAAAGAGACGGTCTCCGCAGAGGGTGTCACTGACAAGTTTCAACAAGAAGTGATTCCTTCTAAACTGGACTTACGCTCTCATGGATTCGACGGCCCCAGTGAGAAAGAAGCCAAAGTCACACAGGTTGGGTTTGGGTAAAGAAAGAACTTGAAAGTTTTTTCAATCAATCCATCCCTCATCCGCTCCCACAACCACTTCGTCATCCATGAGAGGTCAATGAGCTTGAGCAGCACATGGAGGAGATCCTGCAAGTCTTGAACAAGGTGGTTTCGTTCAGGGAGAAGCTTGGGAACAGCACAGCTGCTGGAGCTTCCGAGAGCCCCACTTAGCTTTGATTCCTTCCTATGTCCCAGCATTAGGACTGCTTCAAACCTCCCTGTGTAGAATTTTCATAAGGTCTTGCAAGACGGTGGATGCCTTGCACAAAGACTTGAACAACGTCTATGATCAGTTCACAGATATGCAGGGGGATCTCAAGGTTGGGAAGTGCAAGATTGACGAGGAGAAGTGCCTAGGCTTTTCTTGTTTGGTGGAGATAGTGAACAAAGCTGCATTTTGCACTTTGCATGGACAATCCCAAGGTTCAGCAAGACCTTGAAGGAAACTTTCGTCAATGCAAGAAAACTGCCAAGTTCTTAGATCCCTATTTCACACTCACCAATGTCCCACGCTTGCAGCGCCGTTCTGCCCACTGAGTCTCACCACCTGGACCGCCACAGAGAAGAAGTTCCGGCCCAAACCTCAGGGCCCAAAGCAATCCAATGCATAACCTACCGTGCTACTTTGCTCCTGGCTTTGGCTTAGGCCGTTTCTTCGCAAGCCAAAGGCGGCAAAGGAGTGATCAGGAACTCTCTGTACAGTCCGCCAAGGGAAAAAACCTTTTGGGGTAGATGGTAATGAAGCAGCGCTCCTAATCATGCTGATTTTTCAGCGTGTGGAGATGCCTCTTACTTGGGGATAAATTAATTTTGACATGGCACCTGATGGCGCTGTTCTTAGGATCATATTCGTAGACATTGACACAGGCTGAAACCCGCCAGTGTTTCTTTTTGAACACATCTGAACATGAGAGAATCTTGGGGGTTGCAAAAAGCTTATTATTGAAGGAAGAGTACCCAAAAGCAATCTTCACTTGGAGCATTGGCAACAAAAACATACAGTTCCCTTATCTTGGTGATTCTGCAAACCGGCCAGGTCCCACTGTGAGCGGAACGGCTGAGTACCTTGCTGGTCAAGTTGGTGCCGGGGTGCCAACCTTAGCCGACGTGGCGTCCCTGCAGTTTGAGGAGATCTGGGACCACAGCTGTTTTTTCACAACCGTATTGAAAGAGTTATGGCTCAGAACATGAAATCCGAAGAAGTGCTGTGGTTGGAAGAGTTGTTGGGGTTCCGGCTGCAAAATGGCAATGGCAGTGACCCTTTCTGTGGTGAAAAAACGACAGCCAAATGAACACAGCCACTTGGTTTCAAGCTGCGGTGCTCATGCTAAGAACAACTTGTTGGGTATGTCTTCAATTGTTTGTCCCAGTTAGCTAAGGCCAGCCGGCCAAAAGAATCAGATCTTCGGGCGCAGCAATGTTGGTATCCCAACCTATGCCCACCAGCCGTGCAATCAAACCTTCTGATGATGAAGCGCCCGTTGAATCTGGAAGGAGTGCTAGCCTCATCATTCTGACTTTCGATGTTGTTCTTATATTCTCAAACACGGGTTGAGGGTTGAGATGTTGCTCAGGTGAAATGGGGATCATGAACCTGTTCAACCCTTCAGTGAGAGAAATGCGAAGGCTGAAGTCTTTGATCTTGGAGGGTTTGGGAAGTGATCCCAGGGTTTTGCTCAAATTACCCCAGCCAAAGGCAACCACAGGTCGCGCACTCCAACATTGTCGATCAATGATTTCAAACGTTTTGGCGAAAGGCCCCCCATGTCTTCAAAATAGGTGTGAGTGCAGACCCTATGTTCCGATTTTACAAAAAGCACACTAATTCATCAAATTCTTGTGGCTACTTCTGTGGCGACGAGAGGTACAAATTCATACATGTTCTTTTTGCCTCTAGTCGGTGGGAAGAGGCAGCTTTGATGGAAGCTGTTCTCATTGAGCCTCACCAAGAGACACCTGGGAACCGAAATGTGCGACCAGGAGGGGATGGTAGACAAATGGGGGAAGGCCCTTTCTTTACATACTTGGTTCTCAAACCGGTATGATCAGCTGTGTTCGGAAAAAAATGTGCGCACTTTTGGTTCTGAACCAAAGGTAAGCTTGCTTTCAAGGCATCAGTTCTTCTCTTCTCTTTCACTTGCCCTCTTCCGGCTGAGGTGCCTTGCTCGGAGGTGGTGAAGTGCGCCAAGAAAGCCTGGGACGACGCCGCTGGGTCTTCTAGCAGGGTTGCCAAATGCCCTGTTGTTGAACGCATGAAGGGCATGAATGAAGCCAATGCGGAGGAGCAAATGCACCCCGTTCTACGAAAATACAACTTATCCTTGCCGGTAGACTTGAGCCCTATCTCTGGTGGTTTGCTGGACCAGTACCCGCGGCTGAAACCAATAGACTTTTTGGAATACATGAGAGAAAGCGGCAGGCCAACCGCCTTCTTGGGGG